AGCACCGCGGGGCCAGGCGGGGCGGCTTCTGGAGGCTGGGCCTCGGCCTGCGGCGCCTGGAGCGCGGGGACCACGCCGTCCTCTGTCACCTCCAGCGTGTCTTCGCGGGGACCTCCGGCACAGGGTTGCGACGCTTTACAGGGCGGCTCCACTGTCCCATCATTGACTGCGTCAGAAACCCGATTTTCCAATTCAGGAAGCATGTTGTCTTGAGATGACTCTGCAAAGTTCGGGACACGCGCGGTGTTAACGAAGGTGTGGATTTTCACGTCTTTGCCTATGAGGGGGTGTGAGACGTAAACTTGCCGCACAAACACAACAGACCAGAAAACCTCCGAAAACGTGGTCTAAATAGTAGGATCCCCAGGGAGTGAGGTTATTTCTGGTAAGAACATTAAAATAGCATTTCTAATATAATTCTATCACACACGTAAAATGTTTTACAACTTGAGCGCTTACAAAAGTATTTAAAACTTTGCAGGTGAAGCTGTGCTCGATCGGCGCTGGGCCGCGAGGCTCCGGGAGGCTCGGGAGGGCCTGCGAGGGCCCCGGGGAAAGAGCAGCCCGGCCTAGAGCAGAAGCTCTCCTGCGGCCGCAGGCGCCCACCAAACTGAAGCGAGCGGCGCAGGGCCGGCCTTGCCTCCCCGGGGCCCCAACGCCCTCAGTGCGGAGCGCCTCCTTCCTCGCCTCCAACTGAGGAAGCCAACCTGGCCAGGCAGCGAGCATCACTCGGTGTCAGAAAGGCCTCCGGTCGCCCACCAGCAAGTTTCACATCAGGGGGCTAGTGTTAGACCGTCACCCCAGCCTCAGGGGACGGTAACCGCGAGGTCCGCTCGCAGGGGCCCCAAGTGCTCCACCGAGTAAGGCTGCCGGTCAGAAGCACTCGGCACCTCGCGCACCAACCACCACAGCGACCGCTCAGTCGCATTAACAGGGACACTAATGCCCCTTCTACACTTCGCCACGGTGAGTGAAATGCACCCACGTTCTGGTATCAAAACGAAACCTCACTTCTCATTCCCACCTGACTGAAAGACCGTAGTTGAGGAGAAAACGCCAAATAGCACAGCGGATTGCTCCTAATACGGTTAAACACAAAAACGCTCTAAAAATGCTTCCGCTCCTCCTAGAGAACGTCCCCTCCTGCAGAATCCCACTGCCGGTTCTCCCAAGGACAGGGCCACTTAACTGAAAGACGTCATTACTGCGACGTGCACCTAAGCGGCAGGAAGCAACTCTGCGGGGGAATTAATCTGAAAAGTCGGCAAGGACACGAATCTGCACAGAAACCACAGGCACGGCGGGAAGGCCGTCGCATCAGGCAGCGAGGAGACTGCGCCCGAGGCCTCCCGGGGGCTGCTCCCGGCGAGGGCCTGAACCGCTGTGAACTCCCCAGCAAGGAGCCGCGCCTTCCCCAGCCCTGCTCCCTCCACAGCAACCTGAGCAAGGTTTCTATCCACTGCCAAGCGCCAATTTCCAAGATCAGCACAGAACCTCGTGCTCCGGCTCGTGAGCAAGCAGGGCGAGGACGGGCAGGGAAAACACTGAGGGTTCTGACTGCACTGTGACAAGACTTATGATGATAGATAATAATAAAGCTTTGCCCTAGTTTTCTTAACTTTACATAACTTTTAATGAGTTAAGTATAAACTTAACCTCACAAAAAATCTCACACTTTTTATATATATATAGTCAACCTATAACACACAATTTCACATAAACTACCACAAACTATCAGATGAGGCCAAGATTAAATTTAGTAAGTAGTTTTCCCCCATCCTGGTCTCTCATTAATTTCAGATCCTCAAGTACAGTAATAGCTATTATCAATATTACAAAAAGCTGCATTGAAATAACTTAAATAACCCTCAACAGGACTGAGACGACCTAAAATAAATGTTTCACTGTCTCTGCATGGAACATCTCACAACCAGCAACGGCTCTAATTAGTAATAAACAAATGTAACTGAAGGAGAAAGTAACATTACTTTTTAATGAAAATCATTTGACCCCTGAACAAAACATTTACTTGTGATTAACTCTAGATTATAGCTCAGCTACAAGTATCTATGTGCCCTTTCCCCTATTACTTTCTGTCTGAAGTTATTTTACTAAAAACTCCTCTCTGAACAATTTCCTAAGTTGTCTTGGCTAAGTTTTATTTAGGGTACTGAAATTTTAGCAGCCATTCACATGTTCACTGCACACACACATTTTCTCCAGAAAACAGACGATATCCATTGTGGAAACTCTCTTACCATCTGGAACAATTCCAGGTGCAGACTCCTGACCGCTGGCATCTTTGTTAACTCCTTGCTCCAGAAATACCACAGGGTCTTCAGGGCCTTCAACTTCCATGTCATTGTTATCTTAACAGAAATGTATTGACTCTTTAGCTCAGAATGAGTTCTCCTGCTTTTGGTAACTTACGTCAACAAGTATCACTCTGCTTTACTGAGGGCAACTTATCACCCAAAATGCCATAAATAATTCTTCCCATTTTCCTATTCTGAACCCAATATATGTTTACATTTTTTAAATTGTGGAAAGTATAATGAATTAAGAGATAACTGGCATTTTATTATTTTAAATATATACTGTATACTGATGGTGTCCTGGAATAAAATATAAGTAATTAAGAAGCGTCTACTAAACCCTCTGCAGACAGTAACACGGGCTTTATGGAGGTTGTCACTCATACTGATGAAAATAAAAAACAATCTGGAAAGAAGTTCTGTTTCTTCCTCTAAGGATCCTGTTATCATGTTTACAGCCAACAGTACACCGCTAAAAATACCTGAGCAAAATTTTGGGCTCTAGAGGTGAAAATTATAGCCCTGGCTGGTGTGGTTCAGTTGGTCGGGTGTCGTTCTATGCCCTGAAAGGTTGTGGGCTTGATCCCCCGTAGGGGGTAGACAGGAGGCAGTCAATCGATGCTCTGCTCTTACATAGATGTTTCTCTCCCTCCCTCTCTAAAAGTCAATTTAAAAGAAATATATGCCCTTATTGATTTGAGAGAGGGAGAGAGAAACATCAATGAGGAGAGTCATCGATCGGCTGCCTCCTGTGCACCCCCTACTGGGGATCGAGCCTGCAACCTGGGCATGTGCCCTGGCCAGAAAATCAAACTACAATCTCCAGGATCATAAGTCAATGCTCAACCGCTAAGCCATGCTGGCCGGACTAAAAATAAATTTTTAGAATTTTTTTTTT